ATACACGTGGGCATTGCCTTCCCGTGCATAGCTTGGCGACTGCGTGCACGGCGGGCCTCGCTCGAATCTCGTTTCCGGAGGCGCCCCGCGTCCGAGCGGAAAGGCGTAAGTTGAGAAAACGGTTTTGGTGCAATTTCAAAACAATATTGTTAGGGGGTGGGAACGGGTGAGCTTTACTAGTAACTATGCAGGTGGTCTCGGTTCGCTGTTTCTTTGTACTTCTCTTGGGTCTCCACCCTTCCACCTTGCGTCGCCGTGTTGTGTTTGGTTTCCGTCCTGCCGCCTCTCCTCTGTTTGTTCGCTGTGTCTGCGTCTGTCGACCCTCGGCCCGGAGCCTTCTCGTCTTTGTGTTTCAATGTCATTTCGTTGTTCCTGTCCTGTTTGCTCTTCCTGTGCGTCTCCGTCTCTTTGCTTGTTAGCTGTTCCTTTCGTCCTGCAAGTTTACTCCGAGTTCTTTTCCTTTCGATTGTTTCCTACTTGGTTTTCTGTATGTTTTCTGTGTCTCGCCTACCCGCTGCGAACCGAGTCACCGAGCATATCTAGTGTCAGGTCCCCACCTAGTAAGGATGGAAAGTGGGCTGGGTACACATACATACATGCACACGACGTGCAGACATACACGCATAAGGTACAAACAGACAGACAAACAAACAGACAGACGCACATACATACATACATACATACATACATACACTGGTTGTGCATCCCACGGCCTCAGGTATCTGGCGGCGTGGGCTGCGGCGCCGCTGCCTCGTGGAACACCTTTGGCGGCTGGCGCGGGTGGACGCAACTCGGCGCCGGGGCGTCGCAGTCTCCTTCACGCGGATTCCTGTGGTCTCTCTTCTCAGGCACTGTGTTGGAAGCTAGGAAAGCCACAGCCTTGGACATGAAACAGTCCACGAGAGCAGATGCATCCAATGTGTCAAAGCCGTGCCGTGGCGGCCATACATACAGACAGACGCACGTACATACATACACACATACGTGCACACATACAGACAGACGTGCGTACATACACACACACACATACGTACAGACAAACATACATACATGCGCGCATGCCCACAGACATGAAATCTCGGTGCCGCGCGGGCACCACATGCATACAGACATGCCTTTAAGCCACCCTGCGTAGCACAGAACACTTGCGCGCGTAGCCTGGAAAGAGCGCAGGGAGGGGTCGAGCCCGGGACCTTTCGGTTCCGAGCCTGCGGCACGAACCCTAAAAAGATCTTCGACGGTCCCTTGGACATTATATTTCATTGTTTACTACATAAATCGTCCGACTCCGCCGGCGTGGAGTCGGACGTTTTCCGGACCGGAGTCGGACGCATTACCAAAACGTCCGACTCCAGTTTGGCGGAGTCGGACGATATATCGAATGAACAAATCCAATAGAAGATGTTGCCACCGCCCAATCCCACTCGCCGCGGACACGTCTCTCCTCAACACACCTCTTGTAGAGGCTACAAAAACGTCGCTCCGGCTCCCTGATCTCGGCGGGTGACCTGTGCGTGGGCGCGCCCGAACGACCGTAGCGAAGACATAGTGTCTACGCCTTTCGCTTCACTTGGTTATGAACGAATTTTTAGGACCTATGCTGGAATCTGTTTCTTGGCCTTCTTCAGCGTCATGTAGATCGACGTTAAGCATACATACATACATATGACCTCTATGTCGTATATGTACATACGGCATACATGCATGCAGACAACTGCTGCATACAGACATGTTCATTTTCACGTATTCACCACACACATGCACACGCTAGCGCGCGTAGCCTGGACGGCGCGCAGGGGAGGGTCGAGCCCGGGACCTTTCGGTTCCGAGCCCGCGGCGCGAACCCAAAAAAAAATTAAGACGTTTCTGAAGGACATTATGATTCATTATTCAACATGGTTGCGTCGCATCTCGTTTGACCCCACCGGCGGGGGTCAAACGAGAAACGCGAAAGGGGTCAAACGAGTTACGCTATCTCGTTTGACCCCCCGGCCTGGGGTCAAACGAGATGCGAAATCACAGTTTGTCCCTCCAGGTGGCGTGTTTTCTTTTGATTGCGCGCTGTTTCGTGCCTATTTGCGCCGGCATTAGAACGACCTATTCCACCAACTCCCCGGGCAGTGGGCGCTCTCGCTCGGGACCCTTTGGGTGTCCGAGCCGCCGCGGGCACCGAAGGAAAACGCGCGACGGCGACCGATTTCGACCCTATATAAGTAAGGGCAGGCCCCGGTGGGAGGGGGCAGGGTGAACTCTGGTAACTTATTGCACGGGGCGTCGGTGTTCTATTTAACCACCTTGTATCGTAATGGTCCCACCCAGGATTGTCTCGAGAGCACCGGCGTTCTGATGAACGTATTGTAAGGTCCCCATTCTAATAACTAGTGGGGGGCAACCTTCGGCGGCATTAGCGTGGGCTGGGTGTGGGTCATGCTGGCAACACTGAAAAGAACCATTAAGGAACGCAATTTCATCGACAAATATTGTTGACCCACGGACCGACCGACAGACAGCCAAACAGACAGACGGGCAGGCGCAACAAGACAGACAGAGACAGACACAGAGATAGATCGAGAGACGGATGCAGGCAGACAAACAGACCCAGCCACCGACACACACACACACACTCGTCGACTCTGTCGTGACCCGACTACGTGCCTGGGTGATCTTGTTGTTCAACAGTGGCCCGCTTTACGCGCGCTCGGCCTCAGGTACTACGCTGCCGCTGGCGCCTGGCAGCTTGCGTGGCTCTCTGCGCTTGGGTGGCTTGGCGCGGCAGCGGACGGCGAGACCCAGCAGAGTCGGTCGGCGAGCGAGCGGCCCGCCGCTGCGTGAGGGTGGGAGATGAGACAGTGGCGCCACAATGGGAAAGAAGGAAGCTCGTGGACGCATCCGACACCGCGGTCCTCGCCGTCGCTCCGCTTCGACATCGAGTCATGTCCGTGGCCACTTCAAGTCTCACGTTTGGTGTTACGTTGTGGTTGTCATGCGCAGTATGCGTGTCCGCCGCTGTAGCCATTTGCAGCTTTCACGCTATCGGCAAAGAGTTTCTGTCCGGTCCCAGACCCGTCGCGCATTCTCTGGCCATGTGGGGCGGCAAGGGCAAACACCACAAGAGCGCCGGCCGCAAAGGCGGCTATGGCAATTGGGGCGGCAGCAAAGGCAAGTGGAGCGGCAAAGATTGGTCCGGCTCCGCCGAGCACGATTGGGCGCAGGGATACGGCTGGTGGGCCGAAGACAACGGCAAGGGCAAGGGAGACTCCGAGCAAGGCCCCCTGGAGTACGTCAAGCGCTTGGAGGGGCGCTATGCGTTTGCCAAACAAAGCCTTCGCCCCTACTACGGTGAGGGCCACGTCCCGGTCTACTCGCCCACCAAGCTTGCCGTCGACTTATGGTCGAAGGGGACCTTGCGCCAGGTGCTCACGAGCCAGAACTCCGAGCTGGCTCGCCGGCCGGCAGTGGGGCTGAGCACCATCAGCCATTCGATCGTTGGCCTGCAGGGGGCGCTCCAGGCGGAAGCCACTGGCTCCAAGGAAACCGCCGCAGGCCCGGCGATCAAGGCGCTTGGAGAGATGTTTTCCAAGCCAGAGGCAGTCTCCTTCTTCCAGGCCTGCGCGCAAATGCAACCAGCGAAGGCGGCAACCCTCACGGCGGACGCCCTGGATTCCGCCCTGGGCGATTGGCTCGGCTTTTTCCGGGACAACAAAAGCGAGCTCCACCAGCACCTGCCGCGCGTGCTTCAATTCGCCTCGGCCCTCTACCTCGGCTGTTCCCAGCTCGCAGAGGCGACAACCATGGCCAACGCCCTCGCAAATTGGGCTCAGAAGATCCCCGCCACCAAGTCCAACCAAGCGGCCTTGGACGCATGGCGCCATGACCCGAAGGACCTCCGTGCAGCCAAAGCATTCCTGGCGCGCTGTGTCCAGATGCGTGCCCAGGAGGAGGCGAGCTGGGGGGCCGGCAAAGGCGGAGACGGTGGGGACTCCGAAGGCGAAGCGCCGGAGGTGCGCAGGACAAAGCGCAAGAAATCCACCTCCTCATCCAGCTCCTCTGACTCTGCCGCAAAGAAGGCCAAGAAGAAGGCCAAGAAAGAGAAGAAGAGGGCCAAGAAAGAGGCCAAGAAGGAAGCGTCGAAGAAGCGGTCCGCCACGCCTGAGATCGGCAGCCCCGCGGCGGGAATGGGCCCCGGGATCACTGCGCTTGCGGGCGAAGCCAAAGACAGCGAGTGAGGGGCGCCAGCTTCGAGCTTGTTTTGGGAACCCGTCGGCGGCGCAATTCGACTCCTATACGACTTAGAAAAAGACTCGTTGTCATGTATTCTCACGGCTTCACTGTTTGCCACGTGGCGACACCGATTCGCGGTGATGTCCCTTGTTATGTCCCTTGTTTGCGTTGCTTTCAATCTTTTTGTGATGCTAATTGCGCTGCTGGGCCACGTGAGACGACAGATTCCGTCGGCCAGACGGGGATGGTCGAGCAGGACGTTGGCCGTGTAAGACGGTAAATGCCCTCGGCCATGACTTTTGACATCGCAAGATGGTGCTAGCGAAAAAGGCCGAAGCCGAGCCGATCGAAGCCATTTCACTCATTGGGATTCTCTGCGTGCAGTGCATTCCTGCTGTCTTCTCGTCGTCGCTCGCGTGTGCCTCTCTAGTGGTTGTCGTCTCATGCCTACGTGTCCGCCGCCGTGGCCGTTGGCAGTCTTCGAACTCGACGGCGACGCGTTGTGTCGGGACCCTCCGTTGCCATGCCAAAGAAGAGATTGCGCTCCAGCAGCCAGCGGCGACGTGGCGTCGCGCGCAGCTCCAGCGCGCACCATGCGGCCGCTTGCGCGGGCGCTGAATGCTGCTTTCACTTGAGCGGCTCCGGGGCTCCTGCCCGCCCCTCTCGCACGTCGGGCCTTCGGCATTGCTTCTTCTGCAGCGCGGCCGCCTTCCGTGCGGCGGCGCAGGTGCAAGACGGGAAACGCATCACCGAAGCTCTGCGCAAACTTTCCCGGGCCAGTCCGGACCTGGGAGACAAAGCTTGTCGGAGGATCGCGGCCATGGCTGGCGCGGAGGTCGCCGAGACCTACCGGCGCAAGCTGCAGGAGAGAGCCAAGGAGCCCAAAACCTCCTTGTGGGGCATTGTGCTGAAGCGCCGCAAGCATGCCCTGCACGCGTCCAAGGCGGCCAAGGCCTTGTATGCCAAAGCTCGAGCAAATGACGAAAAGAGGCTTTCTCGCAAGTTTCCATCTTTGTATGCCCCGCCCCACGGGGGACAGGCCGACAGTGCCGCCGCCACCTGGCAGACGCCCAGGGCCAGAGCCTTCAGGAAGTGGTGCTTGGAAGCATCCTGGCGCAGCTGCGAGTAGTGTGGGCGCATGGTGCCTCAGAAGTGTGCTGCCAAGGATTTGCGCGGGAGCGCCCGCGCCGGCCCCACGCTGAAAGAATGCCAGCATTGCAAGTCGTTGTCCAAGGGGCAGCAGCAACATGGCTATTGGGCCCCGCAACCCGACGATCAACCCAGGGCCTTGCGGCATTTGACCCCGGAAGTGGTGGAGGCCTTGCGGCCTGTGAGCATCTTTGTCGGCCCGCACGTCCGGGCGCCGCACGGCTATCTGCTGCGCAGTGACATGGCGCGCTTCGCCTTCAAGCCGCAGTCTGTGGAGGTGACACTGGCGGCTTTGCCCCGAACAGCCCGGCAGAAGGCCCTTGCGGCCTATGAGTTTTTGGTCGCTGACACCGACAACTCCTACCAGGATTTCATTTTGCTGCACAACAAGTTCCTCGCTTCCCGCGCGGCGGCCATCGACCGCGGAGAGATCGACGGCGCAGCCCCGGTGAAGCGCTTGCCCGCCAACTTCTTAGAGACCGTGGGGCTGGAATGCTGTGTTTGGCCCCATCTCTATTGGCGGACCGACATGACTGAAACATTTGTCCGCTCCATCGACAAGCGCCGCCTGCGGCGGCTGCCCGGCGGCCGCCTCCGGGAGATGGAGCTCGAGGAGATGGACCCAGATGGTGCCGACGGGGCGGCGGAGAAGCCCACCCACCAGAGCGCCAAGGCCAGCTTCCTTGCGAAGGTGCACGGAAGCCTCATTGGGTACGGCTCAGACGCCCTCCTCCTCCACTTCGTCTGGGATCTGTGGATGTGGAGCAGCATTGGCGGGGCAAAGAATGCATCCGGCCTGGCGCTGCGCGAGGCGCTCGCCAACAAGCCCTTCAGCCCTGAGATGTGGAAAACCAAGCACCTGGCTCTTGTGGACCTGCAGAAACAGATTGGGTGGCCCTCCGTTTTCATCACGATCAGCCCCTATGAGTGGTCCATGCCATATCACTCGTGGGTGGAAGACGAGCTGCAGAAGACATTGGCCGCGAGGTTGCAAGCACCGGCCACGGAGACGCTACACATCACGCACATTTTGACGCAGGCCGTGAAGGGGCTCCTCCTGGGCGCCAACGATGGGATGAAGCCGCAGAGAGAGCACGTCTTCGCGGGGCACCATGGGGTCGCAGATGGCGCGGGCGTCCGGCATTGGGTCGCCCGCCTCGAGTTCCAGGACGGCAAGCGCAAACGAGGCAGCACTCGCCCGGCTCAGTTCTACCACGGCTCCGGCCGGGTCCACGTGCACTTGCTGGTGTGGCTTCGCGACTTGCCCGCCTTGGACTTACCTGCCCAGATTGCTGCCGAGCTGCCCGGCGGCGGCGCCGGAGATGTCCGATTTGGTCCGTGGGTCGCAGTTGGATTGGGAGAGCAGCGGGTGGCCTCGCCGGGAGGAGCCGTCCGACGTGAAGGGCAACCTCTTGCGCCTGCGGCACCCCCAGGACGCCCATGCCGCGCACTGCCGCGCTTACGTGGTCGACGTCCTGCAGAGCCTGCGCTGCCACGTCGACGTGTTGGCTTCGGATGGGCGCGCCTTGCTGCTCAAATATTGCGCCAGCGCTTCGTCCGCATCGCTTCTCCGCGTCGGGGTCGCTCGGCTCGCGCCGTCGCTGTGACTCGTCGGGTCGCGCGCGCGCGCGAGCTAAGGTTACTTGCCGAAGTTCAGCGATTCCTTCGCCCAGGAGCTGCTCAATGACCAGGCCACCGATTTTGTGGTCACTCGACGCGTCCTCTCCGACTACCACCCGCATCAACCAGAGATGGTTCTACAGTTGGCCGCTCAGCAGCATCCGCAGTTTCTCTCTCATGGCCTTGTAAAGAAATTCATCGTTCCTCTGCCGTGGGAGAAGGAGATGCCGCAGGTCGTGCAAGACTACATGTCCTCGCCTTGGCGCTCTTCTTCGATGTCCTTGCTGGAGTACTTGCGCCGGGTCGGCGCGGGCGGCCAAATCCAACAGCGCTATCGGCGCCTGCACAAGCTTCGCAAGATTGACGCTCCCTTGGAAGAATGGATCAACAGCCTGCCGGCAGAGGGGGAGATCTTGGCGGCGGCCATCGCCGCGTCGCGCACGACCGACCGCTACTGCGGCCAGTGGCTTCTGCTCAACGTTCCCTTTCGGGCGCTGGATGACTTGTGGGACGAGCGCGCTGCGCGGGTCCCGGCGGCCTTGAAATTCTTGACGCTCTGCTTGCTGAAGCGTCCTGGCTTCTGGAAGGCGCCCCAGGCGCTGCGAGCAGAGCTGGAGCTTGAGGCATCGACAGAGCTTTACATCGAGAATTTCCAGGTTCTTCTGGCCTCACGCATTGAGTTGGCTGAGGCCTTTCTGAGTGGAGAGCTGAACGTGGACGAGAGCGACCCTTCTTTGCTCTCACGCCCGGCGCTCTCTGGTATGCAGGCATCTGCTCCGCAGCTAGCGCTGGCATCGGATCAAGATTTCGTTGTGGTGGCTGCGCGCCGCGCGGTCGACAAGGCGCTACAGGCCCGTTGGCCGGAGGAGGAAGACATGGACGCGCCGGCCTGGCTTTCCTGGGTCGCCCGTGCGCCGGCGACGGCGACGCCCGTGCTCGCCGTCCTCGGCCCTGCCGGGAGCGGGAAGAGCACCGCAGTGGAGGTCGCCGTTCAGGCGGCCGTCGGCCGGGGCGCGCACGTGGGCATTGCGTGCCCGACGGGCATGCTGGCAAGCAGTTATCGTGTCAAGTTTCCGGACCTCGACGTGGACACCGTGCACGGCATGTTCGCCCTTCACAGGCCTTTAATCGAGACTCTGGACATGATGGAGCCCTACGATATGGTGGTGGTGGACGAAGTTGGGCAGCTCTCCAAGGACACCTTCGACCGCTTGCTTGCACTCAGGGACGCCGCTGGCCGGCGAACGGCCTTGATCTTCGTGGGAGACTTTGCGCAGCTGCGCGGCATGGATCCATCGACTGCGCTGGACAGCGACCGCTGGGTGGAAGTGACCAAATTGCATCTGCATACCATGCGCCGCTGCAAGTGCGCCGAGCTGCGCTGGAAGTTGGAGCTGCTGCGGAGCGCAAGCCCCACGTCCAAGCAGTTGAGGCGCTTGTTGCGGACGCATCGGGCCCCGCAGGGCGTTCCGCCCGCCGACCCAGCCGGGCAGCCGACCTTGGAAGACATCCAGCAGATTCTGCAGGAAACGCCTCACACACTCTTCGTCACATACACCCGGGCAGCCGCGCAATTGCTGAACGACCTTGCCGTGCAGGCCCACTTCGAGGGAAAGCCGGCCTTGGGCACGGTGCCGGGCGACCCTGAAGCCAATGCCAGCAACTACCGGGCCGGAGCCATGGTCCATGCAGACCCCTACCCGTTGCAGCTCTTCGTCCACATGCGAGTGACCATCACAAAGAACGAGGATAAGGAGCACTCCTTCGTCAACGGCATGGGCGCCTGGGTTCGTCGCCTGCGACGCAGCGGAGTGGAGGCGCGCGGGTCGCCGCTCGACTCCGTTCTTCGGCGTCGTTCGCTTCGTCACGTTGCTCGAGCGTCCGTATAGCCCTCCGCCGCCCGCCGGCGCGCGCGCCAGGTCGTGACCGACACAGGCGAGGTGATCCTCATCCACCCAGTGACGAGGGACTATCTTTTGGAGGACGGCGAGGGAACCAGGGAACGCCGCGCGGCATACCCGCTGCGCCCCGGGTATTGCACGAATCTACACAAAGTGCAAGGGGCCACACTGCAGCATATGACCCTGTGGCTGAACACGCCCTTCGTCCCAGGCGCTGGCTACGTGGCGTTGTCCCGCGTGCAGCACGATCGTGACTGGCGCTACATCGGCGACCTGCAGCGCCGGCATTTTGTGCCCGCTCCGTGCAGCGCCTAGCTGCGGGGCTTCTGTTTTTCGACCCTTGTCGCCCAGCTGCCTTGGTCGGCATTTCCGGCGGCGCCAATATTTGAAGGCAGCCTGCCATGCCGCGGCGGCGATCGCCACGACCTCGGACTCTGCAGAAAAAAAGCGCGCGGATACGCCCCACTCGATCCGCGACAAGAGAGCCGTTCGTTCTTCCGCGTGTTTGTTGGGACCCGAGCCGCGGACTTGTCCATAGCTATATCGTTCTGTCACGGGGATCCTCCTCGGCGGGCGTTGCAGCTCACAGCGCATCGCGCGTTTCTCTCGCCGCCTCTTCGTGTCGCGACCCGCAGCTTCGGGCATGGTGCGCACTTGCGAGGGCTTCATCGAGGGCGGCGCTTCGCGGCCGTGCGTCTTCAATTCTACTCGGGTGGGGCGGGCGGCGCAAACGTCGAAGGCCTTCTCTCGCTGCGTCTTCTGCGACTTGGGGCGGTTGGAGGACATCTTGGAGAAGCCGGGCATGCGCAGCAACATCGCCGCCCGTTTGCGCGTGCCTTGGCAGTACCGGCGTTAACAAACCGAAACTTGCCTGACACGCGGTGCCGGGCGCCGCGCGTCGCGGAGCCTGAGGCCTTCAAGGTGCAGGACCTGGAGGTCTTCCACGTCGCGCTGGCACGCCTGGGCGAAGTCACGGCCGACGCCGCCGAGCTGGAGGCCCTGGCGGACGCGATGCCCGACTGTGCGCTGGGGCGCCCCCCACGCAAGCGTCCGGCGGCGAGCGCCCCGCAGCCCGAACGCTCCCGCTCGCGGAGCTCTTCTTCGTTGACTTCGTCAGCGCACTCCCGCAGTGATCCCTGCATCGCCGAGGCGCGGGAGCCGAGCTTGTGAGCCGTGCCCGGCTACCGCGGTCGGGCGCCTGTACAGTGTCACAGGCCTTGGTCGAGCAGGACGTTGGCCGTGTAATACGGTAGATGCCCTTGGCCAATGCTTTCGTTCCCGCAAGACGGTGCTCTCGCACGCGAAAAAATTGCCCGCGTCGTCCGTTGCGCGACTCTTCCCATCTACCTCTTTCCGTTGCCTGCCAGCAGGCCGTTGTGTTTTGTCGCGTCGATCGTGGCTGTTCTTCTGCAGCTTTTCAACTTGAGACGTATCGATTCCCCCGCACCGATCCCATCGCAAAAGACATGGATGCCGCGGCGGCCGCGCAATCTTTTCGCACCTTGTGGGCAGCCTTCTGTTTGCACTCCCAAGTGGCGGCCGTCTTGGATCGCATCGTGGCGTCGCTCGAAGCCCTGGAGGCGGTGCTGGCGGTCGAGATGAGCCCTCTCTGGGCGCCTTTACGTCCTGCGCTTCGGGCGACCCTTGGCCGCGTTCGCACCATGCAGCGCTACTTGGACCTTCTCCGTCGTCGCCTTGATCTAGGGGTGGAGCGCTGGCTGCGGCTAATGTTGGATCGAGGCTATCCTTTGCCCGCTTTGGCTGCGGACCCGCCGGACCCTGCGGCCGAGGAAGATTGAGCGGCCCGAACCACGACCACGGCTGCCGCGTGTTTTCTTTACGATGGCACCTCACGTATACACTGCTGGCCGGTGGACTGTGCGTGCTGTGCGTCCGACCGCGACGCCGAAACGAAAAGAAAAAAGCTACGCCCGCAGGGTCCATATCCGCTATCGAAACGTTGGTCGGGGGCGCGTGGACGGGGCCCGTAGCGAGCGTGTTTTGTCCCTGTGTGCCGCACGTATATTCACTGCCGTAGTCGTTTTCGCTCTAGCCGTCGCTGTCGTGCTTTGCGCTTACCCTCTTCGACCCACGCATGGCGACCTTGTCGGGGCAGCCCCTTGCAATCCACTGGGACATCTTTCGCTGGCTGCCGCCCTGCAGCGCCGTGGCCCTGTGCCTGACGTGCCCAGACCTCGCGCTGTTGCTGCCGACGCTGCAGACGTGGATCGATGACCAACTTGAAGAGGCGCAGCGACATTTGGAACTGTTGGCTACAGGCGGGTTCCGGGTGCCGATGTTCCGCCACCCCGGCGAAGGCTACGTGGGCTTCGACTTTCATGGCCCGCCCTTCGGCGTCGTGGACTTCCTCCTGCGCTGCGGCCTCTCGCTGCAGCGCCCGGGCCGCCTCGCGCAGTTTCTCCGCGGCGCCGGTTTGCCGCACCGCGCGTGGTTCGCCCCGGCGAACCGGCGGCTGACCGAGTCATCCCGCGCCTGGACCGACGCAGTCGCCTGGTTGGCGGCGCACGTCCGGGCGCAGATGTGGCTACCCAACGAGGTGGCGCCCACGTTCCCGGCCGGCGTGCGACCGTGGCTTGGGACGTGGCCGCAGCCCGGCCGACGCTGCGCGTGGTACATTGTCTACGTCACCGTCGAAGCGGTCGGGTGCGCCCTCGTGTTCCACGAAGGTGTTTCCTGGGACGCGAGCCCAAGCCGGTCTTCCGGTGCCAGCTCGGCCTCTTCATAATTTTCAAGTTGCGACACAGCAGGGGCCAATGCGACTCGTTGTTCCGGTCCCGACCGCGACGAAGAAAAAAACCGAGCGACGTCCGCGCGGTCCATCGGCGCGTTGGTCGGGGGCGCATGGGCGGGGTCAGTCGCGGGCGTGGGTGTCCCGCGGTTTTCTGTTCAAAGGTTGGATCGGGGGCGATGCAGGTGCACGGACGTGTCGCGTTGCGGTCGCTGTGGCCCAGACTGGAACGCTGGGTTGGCTATGCCGACTAAATGCTCTTTTATCGGGTCGTCGCATTCGGCCGTCTTGCTTTCCTGCCCCGTTGCATTGCATTGGCCCGCGGCCATTTCACTTCGGATGCGCGGCCCTCGCCTTGTGGCTCCCAACGTGCCATGTCCGGCGACGGCGAGCCTCGTCGAAGACCACTAACGAGTACCTTGGCCCGCAGCGCTGCGTGCATTTACGTTTTTGCCGTGAAGCTTCGGCCCTTAACGTATTTCGTGTCCAGGTCTATCGGGGGCCAAGCTTAAAACGCGCCCTTTGGTGGTCGTTTACCGCCTGGCTGTGTACTGATTTCCTTTCGCGGCATGCTTGCTCGGAGCCTCTTTCACGTACTGGCGAGGGTAGATTTGGGCCACCTAATTTCCGCATCGGTATCTTTACCACGTTGTCTTGCGTTCGCGAATTTCCAAACACTCTTCTTTTCGCGGTTCCCCGGGGATTTGTCGAAAAGGGTCGGGAAAAAATAACTGTTCAGGTTTTGTGGAATAGGCTGGAAGCTTCGAGGTTTTACGCTTTTGCTGTTGAGGTTTTAGGGTTTTAGGCTAGAAGCTTCGAGGTTTTAGGCTTTTGCTGTTGAGGTTTTAGGGTTTTA